AGCCATCTGGCCCGGGCTTTTGTTTGTTGGGAGATTTTTGATTACTGCTTCAATTTCCTTAGTGGTTATAGGTCTGTTCAGGTTTTCTATTTCATCCTGGTTCAGTTTTGGTAGTTTATACATCTCTAGGAATGCATCCATTTCTTCCAGATTATCTAATTTGCTGGCATGTAGTTGCTCATAATATGTTCTTATAATTGTATTTCTTTGGTGTTAGTTATGATCTCTCCTCTTTCATTCATGATTTTATTTATTTGAGTCATTTCTCTTTTCTTTTTGATAAGTCTGGCCAGGGGTTTATCAATCTTATTAATTCTTTCAAAGAACCAGCTCCTAGTTTCGTTGATCTGTTCTACTGTTCTTTTGATTTCTATTTCATTGATTTCTGCTGATCTTTATTATTTCTCTCCTGCTGGGTTTAGGCTTTATTTGCTGTTCTTTCTCCAGCTCCTTTAGGTGTAGTGTTAGGTTGTGTATTTGAGACCTTTCTTGTTTCTTGAGAAAGGCTTGTATTGCGATATACTTTCCTCTTAGGACTGCCTTTGCTGCATCCCAAAGATTTTGAACCGTTGTGTTTTCATTTTCATTTGTTTCCTGGTTGACCCATTCATTCTTTAGTAGGATGCTCTTTAGCCTCCATGTATTTGAGTTCTTTCCAACTTTCTCTTGTGATTGAGCTCTAGCTTCAAAGCATTGTGGTCTGAAAATAGGCAGGGAATGATCCCAATCTTTTGTGACCTAGGATGTGATCTATTCTGGAGAATGTTCCATGGGCACTAGAGAAGAATGTGTATTCTGTTGCTTTGGGATGGAATGTTCTGAATATCTGTGAAGGTCATTTGGTCCAGTGTGTCATTTAAAGTCTTTATTTCCTTGTTGATCTTTTGCTTAGATGATCTGTCCATTTCAGTGAGGGGGGTGTTAAAGTCCCCTATTATTATTGTATTGTTGTCAATGTGTTTCTTTGCTTTTGTTACTAATTGGCTTATATAATTGGCTGCTCCCATGTTAGGGGCATAGATATTTACAATTGTTAGATCTTCTTGTTGGATAGACCCTTTAAGTAGGATATAATGTCCTTCTTCATCTCTTATGATAGTCTTTGGTTTAAAATCTAATTTGATATAAAGATTGCCACCCCAGCTTTCTTTTGGTGTCCATTAGCATGGTAAATGGTTTTCCACCCCCTCACTTTCAATCTGAAGGTGTCTTTGGGTCTAAAATGAGTCTCTTGCAGACCGCATATTGATGGGTCTTGTTTTCTTATCCAATCTGATAGCCTGTGTCTTTTGATTGGGGCACTTAGCCCATTTACATTCAGGGTAACTATTGAAAGATATGAATTTAGTGCCACTGTATTGCCTGAAAGGTGACTGTTACTGTATATTGTCTGTGTTCCTTTCTGGTCTATGTTGCTTTTAGGCTCTCTCTTTGCTTAGAGGACCCCTTTCAAGATTTCCTGTAGGGCTGGTTTTGTGTTTGCAAATTCCTTTAGTTTTTGTTTGTCCTGGAAGCTTTTTATCTCTCCTTTTATTTTCAATGACAGCCTAGCTGTATATAGCATTCTTGGCTGCATATTTTTCTCATTTAGTGCTCTGAATATATCCTGCCAGTCCTTTCTGGCCTGCCAGGTCTCTGTGGATAGGTCTGCTTCCAATCTAATCTTTCTACCATTGTAGGTTACATATCTCTTCTCCCGAGCTGCTTTCAGGATTTTCTCATTGTCTCTGAGACTCGTAAGTTTTACTATTAGATGTCAGGGTGTTGACCTATTTTTATTGATTTTGAGGGGGGTTCTCTGTGCCTCCTGGATTTTGATGCCTGTTTCCTTCCCCAAATTAGGGAAGTTCTCTGCTATAATTTGCTCCAATATACCTTCTGCCCCCCTCTCTCTTTCTTCTTCTGGGATCTCAATTATTCTAATATTGTTTCATCTTATGGTATCATTTCTCTCTCGAATTTTGCCCTCGTGATCCAGTAGTTGTTTATCTCTCTTTTTCTCAGCTTATTTTCCATCATTTGTTCTTCTATATCACTTATTCTCTCTTCTGCCTCATTTATCCTAGCAGTTACAGCCTCCATTTTTGATTGCACCTTATTAATAGCCTTTTTGATTTCGACTTGGTTAGATTTTAGTTCTTTCTCCAGAAAGTGTTTCTCTGACATCTTCCGTGCTTTTTTCAAGCCCAGTTAGTATTTTTATAATTGTCATTCTGAACTCTAGTTCCGACATCTTACTAATGTCTGTATTGATTGGGTCCCTTGCAGTCGGTACCGCCTCTTGTTCTTTTTTTTGAGGTGATTTTTTTCCATCTTGTCATTTTGTCCAGAGGAGAATATATGGATGAGAGAACAAAATGCTAACAGGGTAACAACAACCCCAGAAAAATATACACTAAACAAATCAGAAGAGACCTGAAACCAGGGGAAAAGAAAGGGAAGGAAAGAAGAAAAGAAAAAGATTAAAAAGGAATATGATCAAATATGATCAGGCTGGTGAACAGATCAGTGCCACACACTAGATTTTTAGCATATTCTGGTCTGTTAGAAGAAACTGCCTCCCAAAATTTTGAAGAAAGAAAAGTTTATATATGTACAAAAATAAGGGTAAATATGATGAAGGGATGGAATATGACTGTAAAGATGAAAATTATAAAAGACTTTATAAAAGGAATTGATAAGAAGGTTCAAAAAAGAAAGAGGATTTAAAAAAACGGGGGGAGAGAATGTGATCAAGCAGGAGACTAGAACAAAGCCATACACTAGAGATTTAGGGTATATTTTGATCTGTTACAAGAAATTGTATCCCAAAATTTTAAAGAGAGAACACTTTATATATACCAAAACTAAGGTTAACTACTATGAAGGGATAGAATATGACTCTAAAAATGAAAAATAAAAAAGATTTTTTAAAAAAGGGATTGATAAGATGTTGGTTGAAAAAGGGAAAAAGAAAAATTAAAAAAAAAAACCTTTGAAACACTAAAGAATCATGGGGGAAAAAGCCATGAATTCTATGTGCTGTATTCCCCTAGCGCTGGAGTTCTTCCATTCTCATTTATAGGTAAACTTGGTCTTGGCTGGCTGTTCTTGCTGATCTTCTGGGGGAGGGGCCTGTTGCCATGGTTCCCAAATGTCTTTGCTGGAGGTGGAATTTCCCCGCCCTTGCCTGTCCAGGCTAAGTAATCTGCTCGGGTTTGCTCTTGGGAGCTTTTGTTCCCTGCAAGCTTTCCATACACCTTTGGAGGACAAGAGTGAAAATGGCGGCCTCCCAATCTCTGCCCCTGACGAGCCGAGAACTCGGGGCCCCGCTCCTCAGTGAGCCCCCAGAGAAAAGCCGTCAGTCACTCCCTTCTCCCCGGTCTCCGGCCACACTCTGTGCTCACTCGGCCTGTGACCGAGCATTTCTATGTCTGGCACCTGACCCTGTGTGGAGTCTCCAAACCCAGCAGATCCCTGCGGTGCGCTACCACGCCGCTCCTCCCAGGGGAGGAAGAGGAGTCTCCCAGTATCTGCCACTTGTTGGGTCCCTGCTGGAGGAGCAGTGGCCCGACTGTACCCTGGATCACAGTTTATGGCAACCCCGAGCTGAGAGCCCACTCCTCGGCTCCATCTCTGCAGCCGGGTTTCCTGCTCCGATACCTGGGATCTCTGCTGCACTCAGGCACCCCCAGTCTTTCTGTGACCCCGAGGGTCCTGAGACCACACTGTCCCAGCACGGGCTCCACCCCCCACTTAGCCACTGGAGCAACGTCCCTCAGCGGAGTCGACTTCTAAAAGTTCCGATTTTGTGCTCCGTAACTTTCACTTATCGGTAGCGCCTGATGGATGCCCCCTCCCCCGCCGTCTATCTTCCCGAATATCGCCTCGGATTCACTTCTCTGCACATCCTGCCTTCCAGAAAGTGGTTGCTTTTCTGTTCAGAGTTGGTTATTCTTTTTCTTCGATCTCCTGTTGAGTTTGTAGGTGTTCAGAATGGTTTGATCCCTATCCCGCTGAATTCCTGAGACCAGACGAAATCCAGGTCTCCTACTACTCTGCCATCTTGCTCCACTCCCCAACATGGATGAATCTTAAATGCATTTCACTAAGTGAAAGAAACCAAACCAAAATATCTACATATTGTGATTCCAATCATATGACCTCTTGAAAGGGAAAAACCATAGGGATGGATAACAAATCAGCGGTTTTCAGGGATTGGGAATGGAGAAAGTGGTTTACAACAAAAAGAACAATTGAGAAAGGGGCACCTGGGTGGCTCAGTCGTTAAATGTCTGCCTTCGGCTCAGGTCATGATCCCAGGGTCCTGGGATTGAGCCCCACATCGGGCTTCCGGCTCCACGGGAAGCCTGCTTTTTGTAAGTAATCAGGCTCACAACTGAGCTACCCAGGCCCCCTGTTCTATGGGTTTTATCACTAATAATTTCTCTCAATTTTTTTTTAATTTTATTTTTTTGACAAACACAGTGAGAGAGGGAACGCAAGCAGGGGGAGTGGGAGAGGGAGGCCTGGGTGGCTCAGTTGGTTAAGTGTCTACCTTCGGCTCAGGTCATGATCTCAGGGGTCTGGGATTGAGCCCGTCGGGCTCCCTGCTCAGTGGGGAGCCTGATTCTCCCTCTGCCTGCTGCTCCCTCTGCCCCTCCCCCCATGCGTGCGTGTGCACTCTCTCTCAAATAAAATCTTAAAAAAAACCCCATAGAACTATAAATCAGGACTGAATTTTACTGTATGTAAATTACAAATACAAATCTCTAATATAACAGATGTATATTTGTACCTATTAAATGAGCAGACATTTACAAAGAGAGAGAAAGGCCGTATTTTGATGAATGTGTGGAGAAATACGCATATTTATACACCACTGACAGGAATGTAATTTTTACAACTATACTGAGCACAATTCAATAGTACTTTTCAGATGCCCTAATAATGCTCTCATCAAACTCAGTAATTCCCATTCTAGAAATTTACTGCAAAGAAATAATTACAAATGTACATGATTAATGTACAATGAAGTTTATTACATTTTATAGGCAAAATTGGTAATATGCAAAATGTCCAGCAGCATGCAATCATCTACCTAAATTTTGTTAGATCCATATGAAATATTATGTAACAATACTGTTTTCAAAGAACGCTAATTACATGCAAATACATTATTTTCAAATGAAAAAAGATGGAGAACAACATATACAATATGATGTCAATTTTGTTTTTAAATTGTACACCTGAAATGAACAGACATTGTATGTTTACTAACTGGAATTAAAATGAAAACTTGAAAAAACTATGTTACATTCTTTTTTAAAGGGGCAAAAGGAAACAAACTCAGATGTTGAGTTGTTTTCTGGGTTATAAGATTATAGGTGTTCTTTACTTTTTAATTTATACCTTTGATTTTTCAACAGTGATCATCTGTTACTTTTATCATCAAGTAAAAAAGTATTTTTAAAATTCCGAAACAACAAACAAGCCCAGCCCAATCCAGCCAATTCCATGATCTTTTCTGTTTCCATCTTCACTTCGAAGACTACACTGATGTCCCCTGGATGCCTGTTGTCCTCTTGTTCCTTCAAGTACTGGACTCATACTGCAGATGAACACCTGTCAAAGCAAGAGAGTAGCAGGATCCCTCCAAGAGCATGAAACCCTGAAGTTAATACTGGCCTAGTCAGCCACAGGTTGATACGAGTATCAATCTCCATGACCTATGTAGGGAACAGATGTTTTTAAAAGTTGCAATGCCCGTATTACATAATTGGAAGTTCCCCTCTTCTAAATCTCTTCTAGGAAAGAATCTTTATAACCTTTAGATATTCTATCATGCTCTGGGGATTGACAAATAATAGGTCTAAGGGTTGACCTTTCAGTGTACTGTTTCCTTACACCTTACCAGGTGTTTGGAGTTGCCTGGAACCACTGTGCTCTCCGCCTCTACCCCATCCATCCTATATAAAAAAAGCTGAGCTATTTGGTACTACTTGTGCTACCTCCTCTGTCCTCGACCCCTCTGTCACTGATCCAGAGAGTTCTAAGCTGCAAACCTTGTTCTGGGTTGTTTCTCAATAGGGGTCAAGAGAAATCTCTACAAAGGCAGCTGTACCTGAGAAGAGGGCTTGGAACAGTGACTCTCACACAAACAGCAACGGAAGTAGTGCAATGCAACTTAAAAGTCACTGGTTTAAGAAGCAAGTCTCAGGGCCTCCTCCAGTGACATAAAGGACCCTCACTTTTCTCCCCTCTCTTCCTCCATTACTAAGGGCAATAGGAATTCACTCTTATCTTCACTCAACACACATCCAAGATCTCTCAGGTTTGTTTACTTCCTTCATGTAGGCTTCTAGGTCCAGTATCTACTAAAATGTCAAATTTTTGTTACTCCATTATGGGATTTCATGGCCTCCTTCCCTCTCCTTATATTCAGAGAAAAACATGGGTGTCACTCCACTCACTCACTGAGGCTTCATTCACAAGGCTCCTCCCAGATGATGACTGTTACAGATGGCCTGAGGAAGGGAAAAGAAAAAAACAAAACAAATCCACACCCACTGAAACCCACCAGGGTCTGGCAGGGAATAAAAGGTGGTTAGTGAGAGCAAGATGTGCACTAGAAAAACTCTGAAGAGGCAAGACCCGGGATAAGGTACCAGATAGTGTGACCCAGGGTGTCCTGAGGAATCACTGGGAATACAAGACTTTCCACTTACCCTATGCTGCCCATCCCCAAGAGAGATAAAAGGTAACCTGGACTCCTGATAGTGTTCACTATTAACCCCTGAGATATCTGTTCTTATGCAACATATGCCCTAAGACAAGTCCTGATCTCTGATGACTAACTCAGAAGGGGGGCTGGGATGGGGCAAGCCCTCCTACTAGTATTTTGTAATCAGCTGAGACCTCAGGAGTAAGTCCTGGGGCTGGGGTCCACAGGGTTGCTGGCCCTGGCTACAGCTTCTCCAGTAACTGTCATAATATCAGGAGGAAGTGGGTATCGGGCTGATTAACGTTAGTATTCCCCAACCACAGAGGCAAGTAGGACAAATTCGACCCCAACTCTAGCATTCATGACTCCCTGCGTCTTAAGAGATGGGAGGAAGGAAGTGCTAATGAAAGAGAGTGACTCCTAACAGCAGCTGCACAGGCCAGAAAAGTGCCAGTGGAAGGAGAAGGTATGGCTTTGGTTTGCTGTTATCAGTGGTCGTATCTGAGTCAAGGCGCTGAAGGAAGAAGGAATAATGTGAAGTGCAGGGATAGGGGTTACTTTCAAGTCAGCTGACTGCCTTCCTTCCATTAAGCTGGGGGCCTTTGTTGCTGAAACCCAATTTCCTCTCTGGTGGCCTATATTCCAGCACTGGGGATCCAGCAATTTTTGACTACTGGAAACCTAACAGAACAAGCCTTATACCTTCTTTGAGGGATTTTTTTTTTTTTTTTAAACTGGGAACGTGGAGTACTCTTTATGGGAAGTGACAGTTCATATATGCACATACAGTATGATTTCTGAACAGAAAAAGTAGCTGAGAGGGCTAAGCATGCAACTGAAAGGAGCAACCTGTGGTCTGGAGAGTCTCCAGAGGATGATCCCTCCCTCTGCTGAGTCATGCCTTGTGAAGCTGAGATGAAGACAGGCTGTAGTCACTCTCCACTTCTTGCCTTTTCTTCTCCCTCACATGAAGTCTTCTACCAGGTTCTCCTGAGGAATAAATATAAAGCAGCCCCCACAGGAGGGGATGGGCTGTCTGAGGGCCTGGTCACTCTATCACAGTGGCTTTAAACCTTCAGTGAAATACTGACTCATGTGAAGACTATAACCGAAGAAAAATGACTACATGCAATGTCGCAGGGTTCACACTCTCTTCTCCTAAACTTGACCTTCCGGGTCCCAAGGGACATCTCTCTGCATCAATTTCCAGTCCTTCCCAACAGCACAGCGGGTATCTACAATAGGTCCACTAAACTGGATGCATCCTGACCTCAGAGTGGATTTCGCAAAGTGGTCTCGTTATTCACCACCCATTGATGCGAGCTTTCTTTTGTCTATCCTTTATCTTAAAAGCTCAATTAGGTAACTGGACTGTCTTGTTCTAGTCAATCAATATGTGAGTTTTTTAAAGTGCTGTGCCTGTTCTCTTGTTTTGTTTTTTTTTAAAGGACAGTACCAGCCCATGCTCCTCAACCCAGAGGCTCAGAAGCCAGAGTACATTATGGAACAGCCAACACAAGCTCGTACCATGTAACAGAGTTAGGTCAACGTCAAGGGAAAATTTTGATCTAAGGAAACCTTTTTATGCCACTTCAAGCTGCCCAGGTCTGTGCTGAGATGGCCACGGCATCCCCTCAGTTCTGAGAGCCAGCAGCTCCTCTAGCTGTCCTTGCTTGGGACTGCTGCTCATTCTCTCACACCCGGTATGTGACAGACCCAGACGGCGTAAATGGGAGCGCACAGAGCAAGGTGCCGGGGATAGAGCAGGCGCTCAGTAAACGAGGGGATCGTTTTTGCTAGGCGTTCTGCAAGCCAACACTGCAGTGCAATGTGCAAATCATAGTTTCTGTAACTTCGAAGACTCCCTGCCACTCTTCTGTGGCTCCTACCAACAATCCACTACATCCTTTCCTCTTTTCCATCTGCACAGCCGCCATGAGCCAACCTCTAACCATTCCTCAGGCACTGAAGCATATTCTAGTTGGCCCACAGTGCTCGTTCCCAGACCAGCTTTTGCTATAATCCTGGGTCACTTCAGTATGTAGGTAACAGACCATCTGACATCCCAGCTTCACAAGTATCTTGCCCACTCCGGGTTTGAAGTCTCAAGGTTTCAAAATCCACTCTCTGATCACAGGTCCTATTATTCCAAGTTTCCAACTACTCAACACCCATCTTGATCACGCCCAGTCCTCTTTTTAGTCACAGACTTGGAGCTCACTTTGGACCTACACTGCCTTCCACAGAGAGTCTGGATTTTCAAAGTCATTTCTGCATAACCCTTCTCTTGCTAGCTGTCCACTTCTCAATCAATAAAGGTCAGGCCCAGGCAATCAAATTTACTTGTGACAGTGGCCTAAGACCACTTTACAATTTCTTGAGTTTCTAATGGAGTTTCAAGCTAGTTTCTCGCTTTAACGGAGTAATATCACATCTCACGTATCATTTAATATAATAGTACCTCACTTTAACATGCCAAAAGGCCCCACTCCAGCCTCTTGGCCCGAATATTCCGCAGACTCTGGTTCGTCTCCGTAATCCTGTCCCTGGTCAGCTTCCTCTCCCCATCAGTCACCTCGACAATTACAAATCTTCAACTCCCTTCTCAGCTCCTCCTCCTAACTCCGAATGCCTGTGTTCCAGCGAGGAGGTAACTCCTTTCAACCAAGGCTATCCCTCCACCCCCATTTTAGAGCCAGAGGTTTCACCCTCCCAACCTACATTGGTTCCCAGGATCTTATTCCGTCTGCTATCGTCTTTCTCTCCCACATCTACAATGCCTCCCTTCTCAGTGCTTCCCGCCCCGAAGTCTGCAATTTTCTCCCACGGTAAAGGGGAAGCTTATACGACTCACTGCAGCACCCTGATGGAATCGTTTAACTTGTATTCTAGTTGTCACATCTTCTAACAGAAAGAAGGCTTCTCACGGAACAAGAACAATTAATCATTCGGAAATAAGAAAAGAAATGTGAGCCCGCTGGGTGGCGAACAGAAAGGGGAGGCCTACCTGTCAGTGTAGTAGGTAAGGGGATAGCTGAGGTAAAGCTGAAAGGGGAAACTGAATACCAGCCACAGGAGCAAACCCCAGACTGTGAGGATGAAGTTTCTGATCAGTGATCACTTTGGTCCTACCCAAGGAGCAACCAGCAGCAACTGGGGCGGCAGCGGCAGCCATGCAACATCTGCAAGTAGCCAAGACTAAAATGCAGGCATAGAGACAGAGTAGTTCACGGAAAACATAATCTCAAATATGACCCAGATGTGGCCCTTGTGCTGTTACAGCCCATTCTCCCACCCTTGGCAAACATCACTGATGAGTCGTTAACGCTCTTTCACACTGCCCTGAGAGCTGGCTTCGGAATCCTTTTATAAAACAGAATCAAGGCAGGTACTCTCAATCGGCTGGAGATGGTACTTGAGATGAAGTAAATATATCTGCTATGCTTGTGCTACACAGAAAAGTCCTCAGCAAAAGGATTAGAAGATAGGAGTAAGCTTCGGGAGAAAGCATACTGAAGACAGCTTGGACGTTGTAGGCAACTGGCGGGGAAAAGCTGAGCCCATGGAGATCACAGAGCAGGCGCCCAATTAATGTCTGTTGATGATTCAGTTTTTCATTCAACAAACATTTAATGAGGCCTACAATGTGCACGGGATTAGGCACCGAATACAAAGATGAATAAGGCACTGTCCTTGCCTGTAAGGAATTTAGAGTCTGGTAGACGAGAGCCATAGACACGGACAATGATAATACAACCTGATAAGTGCTAGGACACTTAGCAGGTTGTATTATATCCATCCGAGTAGGATTTCTTCAGAAGAGCACAACTCCAGGTTGAGGTTGGATCCATGCAGTCCTCCCAGCCACCAGGGCCTGCTGTTGTCTCTGTCACGTGGTGAGCATCCCAAGAACTAACAATGATAGCTATGATTGATAGAGTGCTTATGACATACACTTGACAAATGTCCTCATAGAAACCCTGCAAATTAATTATGATATTAGATGAAGCAACTGAGGTTCAATGAGGTTAAGTAACATGCCTTAGATCACACAGCTAGTAAACAGTTGAGTCAGGTTTCAAGTCCGGTTTTGACCAACTCCAAAGCATTTTTCTACATTTTTAGGATAACCTTTATTCAGGTGTAACACAACTTTTCAACAGGTTTCTATTTGGAAATAAGAGCAAAGGCAATAGATTAGTGATCAGGGCATGGACAAAATTCATCTGGTTTCCCAACCCATTTGGCAGAGAAGAAAAAGATGGCAGAGAATTGACTTCATACTAGCATACCATTGAAAACCTTCACGTCGGTTCGTTTTCTTTTCTTCCTTGAACCCTCAGAGTCTCATCGACAATGTAAAATATAAGCACCTCTAGTTAACTATCTTCTTTTAATCCTTGTCACAGTCAACATCATTATCAGCAGCAACTATAGTTGATACAGCATTTAACATACTTCCGACTCGTTCTAAGCCATTTACACGAACAATCCCATTAAATCCTTAAAAATCATTGCGATCACTACCCCCCACCAAACCACTGCAAAAAAAAGATTATTACCCCTATTTTACATAAGTGAAAGGAAAGCCCCAGAGAAGTGAAAAACCATGCTTGACACCACACTGGCGAATGTAAGAGCAAATCGGAGCCTAGGCTATTTAGTCTCAAGGCCCAAACTCTTACTGTCCTGGCTTTGCTGTCCTACTCAGAGCTTCCTCTCCCACCCCTTCTTCCCCTTACTGCCCTCTAGGATGGCTACGTACACAGGGTCCACTGAAAATACCTAAGGTCTACTTAACTGCAATCTCCTATTAATCGTTCTAGTCACAGAAATCCATTCTCTGAATCTCCAAGGTCACTACTCTGAGCCCTAGGTGGAGAATTTTCCAAAGGACATGTTCCTCTTGCTTTGAGCAAAGAGGAAATGAATACTGCATCTACAGATTTTTGATTACTGAACATGTTTTACTGGGAGGTGTAACCATAAACACTGTAAAGTCCCTAAGCAAAATAGAATGACTGAGACAGTAACAACGAGAGCCACCTCTTCCCTGAGTGGGTTTTAGAGAGGAGAGCCTCTACTCTGACTTTGAGTGACATGTGGTCATGAAGGAGGGCTGCTACTGCTGAGAAGGACCAGGAACTAAGTAATCCTATGACAGGTCTGCAGCTGTTCAGATGATGGAGAATCACCATTTCCTATACAGCTGCACCCCAAGAGAAACCTGCAAAACACGGTCCAGTCAAGCCCTGGTCCAAAAGAGATCAGTAGCAATGCCCATCTAAAAAACATGAGGGGATTTCTCATCAAGGCCAGGGATGGAGGTAGGTGAATGCACATTTGCCCAGGTCTGAGAGCCTTAACTGGCCCCTCTATTAGGTCCATGTTTGTATAGCCTCTAAGAGGTCAGGTCCTCTTCTCCACTCCCACTCCTTCTGGCCTCAGATCATTTATCATCTTACCTACTACAGTCGCCTTCTAACTAATCTCCCTGTCCGGATTTGAAGATCTTCCAGAACATGCTCTATAGTACTGCTAGAGTGACCATCAAATGCATCTCTTACTGAAACACTCAAAATGGAATCCGCATTTCATGAAATACTATATAAGGATCTATCGTCAGCCTACATTTCTAACCCAATCTCAGGAACTACTTGTAGTCCCCCCATTTCATCATTCTATTTCCAATGTCCATGCCTTTGCTTAAAAGGTCCTTCCCTGTTTTCTTCCTGGTCAAGCTTTACTTCTTTTAAGAATCCCCTTAAGCATCAGTTCCTCCAGCCTCTGGCATCTCCATACTCAATCAAATGATTTCTCTTCCGAACCCCAGAGTATCTTGTACATACCTCCACTGTAGAGCATACCATACTGTTGTAATTATCTGTGTACATGTCGAACTCTCTCACTAGACTGAGAACTCCTGAGGGCAGGGACTGTGTCTAAATTCGTCTCCACATCCCCATCTCCCAGCACCGTGCCGCAGCTCAAAAGGCAGCAGAGAGAAGAAACTGCAGATGCAGGAGAGAGAACAGTAAAGCAATATTTTTGACTTGGGGTACAATACAAATATGCTGATTAAGCTGAAGCTGTAGAAAAACATTTCAGCTCAATACTGCACACGAGTCTTCAAAGAAGAGACAAGCTGACTTAGGAAGGACTTCCCCATCACTAATTGTACTGACCCGCTGGATAAAATTTAAGGCCATTTGTTGGGTATATCTTAAAAGAACTTGAATTAGGATCAAACTGAAATAAGCAGGCTTGGATATGAGGCTCTTAAGGCCCTTCCATTCCTGAGGTTCTAAATCTGCAATCTGTGCTATATCCAAGGGAGCCATCACGCCGAGCCTATGTCACAGACCCATGAGTGACTTGGCTCCCAGAATCGTGGCAGAGGCCGAGGTTTCATTCCCATCCATACTAGACTGATTGCAAACTAACAACATAACCCATTCCCTCAGGCCCTGCTTTCCCAGGTGTCCCTTGAACCAGGGGCAGGAAATACTTTAAACGCTTTCAGGGCTACCAAGAAGGATCTCATGACCCTGAGTATCTTCCAAAACCTGCTCCCTAAAGTCTTAGTTTTCTCCTTAAACCCTTAGTGCCTCTGATCAATGTTTGTTAAAATGCCATTTAATCTAATGTGGTGAGTCAGCATTAATCAAGTGTATACTAAAGGACGGATAAAAGCAACACAACCCTTCTGTCCCCCACAGGAAATCATTTAGCCTGATCTTCCCCTCCCTCTAACACAAATCAAAGAATACCCACAAAATAACACTGATTTTTAAATTCTGGTATTCAGTTTCCTTAACTGCGAAATATGGAGATTGTACTGAATGGTCTCCCAGATCCCTCCTACCCCAGAGAAACTCAAAGAGCTTCCAAACCCATGTTTTTCCACTTGTAAAATAAACACATGAAATCTGTTCTTCCAAATTCACCAAATTTCTATAAGGGTCAAATAAAACCATGTTTGTGAAAGGTTTTCAAATGATGAAGTGCTATACAAATTTAAGGAATTACTCTTGTAAATCAAGATATGCTGGAGGAGATATATTGTAAATTAAGATATACTGGAGAAGTACACTCTGCCATTAATTAGATGAGTTACCCTAACAAATTTATTCTCTCTCTCTGGGATGCCTCAGAAAGTTGTGGTGATGATGAAATGGGAACATGTGAAGTAGGCATACAATAATACTGTTTCATTTGTCCTCATTGAGATAGTCAGAATCTCAGAAACAAATGTGACCTTTAAGTGCATGTAATCCAACCTCTCATTACAATGCAGGGAGATTCTCGGGGTGCCTGGGTGGCTTACTCGTTAAGCATCTGCCTTCGGCTGGGGCCTTAATCCCAGAGGTTCTGGAATCGAGCCCCGCATCAGGCTCCCTGTTCGGCGGGAAGCCTGCTTCTCCCTCTCTCACTCCCCCTGCTTGTGTTCCCTCTCACGCTCACTGTCAAATAAATAAATAAAATCTTAAAAAAAAAAAAAAACAATGCAGGGAGATTCTCAAATTCCATTCCAAGTGGTCACAGAAAAACCATTAGGTATCACTTCCAAGAATATTGTCATCTTTGTGGACAGTTCTTAAATCTGTTTATCCATTAACTAGAACTGCCTTCAAAAGCAGCAAAAATCAACTATTCCTGACTCTATCAAAGATCTGAAAACAGATTATCAAACTCTTTATTTTGGATGTGTTGTCTCCCACAATCTAAACAGCCCTAATTCCTATGATGCTTCTCATAGGATCTAAGTTCAAATCCCTCTCAGAATCCTGGATGTTTTCTAGCTCCCTCTCGGAGAGTTGCTCTTAAGACTGAAACAGAACCATCAGGTAGAACAGGACTCTTACCTCTCTGATTCTAAACTTTTGTAGTGAGAACACAACAAGTTAGCCTTATATTGGAGGGCATGAAGATCTTCAATGGGTACATATCCTGTATACAATGGGCACTGAGTTCCCAGAAGCTTGAAGTATAGAGGAAGCACTTCTAAATGGGAAAGAAGAGTTGATGGGATGCTGACGGCACTAAAAACAAATGGCTTACTACATAATTTCCCTAGTATTAGAAATCATCTCTGTAATTAATACAAAACAAGGGAATGGAACACTATAAATAAGGCAGACTCCTAGGGCCACGTGGAAGAAATGTTACCATCATATAAAAAAAAAAAAACATTTTGTATGACCTTTTATACTGAACAATCTAGTCTATGCAGATGACATCTTCTGTACTTTTCAATCAGAATCTCAGTTCCTAGGACATCTGCCTATTTCTTTCATAAACTAGGAAAAAATATTGAAGATAATAAGTGGAATAGATACACACAATACTTAGGACCTGAATAAAAGGAGAAACATACCACATTCATGTATGAGAAGATTATACAGATGATAGCTCTCCAAAAATCAATCTCTGCCTTCAGTGCCATTCCAACTGCAATTCCAATGGTATTCATGGTGAGGACTTGACAAGTTGTTTCTAAAGGTCTCCTGGAAGAATAAGTACATGAAAATAAAGACAATTTTTTTAAAAAGTAAGAATGAGGGACTCGCTGTACTAAAGTTATTAAGAACCAGGCATGTACAAAAGGACAGCAACCACACTAATCACAATGTGATAAAACAGTTTATTTTATATATAATTTTATATGTTAATTATAAAAACATATAAGCTTATACATTATATGCTTATATACAATAAATACATATTTATGTAACATATATATCATGTATATATGAGGTAGTTCAAACCAGAAATTCTCAACATGAAGCACCACAGTAAATAACTATTGGGTCAAAAAAGAAATGTAAATTATGATCAAACACACTTAACAAACAACAAAACAAGAACACCACTTATGAGATTCAGCCAGTACTACATAGAGCCTTATGTTTTCTTATTTATTATAAAATAATGAAAAAGAATTACCTCAGTAAAGATGACAAACATAATGGGAGCCAAACAAAGGTGAGAAGAGGACAGAAAGAGTATGTGAATGAATAATGGCCAAAACTTGCCAAATTTGATGAAAAAGTATTAATCTATACATCATGCAAGAAGATCAATATATGCCAAGAAGGATAAACTCAAATTCAAATCAAATCTAGACTCATAATAATCAAATTGTCAAAGTGACTTTAGAATCTTGAAGGCAGCAAGAGAAAAACAACTCATCATATGTAATGGATCTTAAGTAAGTTTTCATAAACCATAGACCAGAAAATAGTGGGATGATTATATTCAAACTACTGAAGGAAAACAAACGTTGACCGAGAATTCTGTATCCAGCAAAACTATCCTGGAGAAATGAAGGTGAAATTATGATACTCCCAGATACACAAAAATTAAAAGAATTCAGTGCTAACAGACATGCCTTACAAGAGATACAAAAGAGTCCTACAGGCAGAAATGAAAGGACACTAGACAGTAACTCATATATATATGAAAAATAAAAGAGCATGAGGAAAAGTAACTGCATAAATAAATTTAAAAGACAAAAAATTCAATTTTAATTGTAACATTTTTTGCTCATTTCTGACTTGACAGTAGCATAAAGGAGTAACTAGAAGACTGTGCTAATGTGTTTACATTGCATACAGATGTAATCTGTATAATAATAACAGCACAAAGAGGGGAGGGAACAAAGATACAGTGGAGCAAATTTTGTCCACAACTGAAATTAAGTTGGTATTAACCTGAAAACAATTATTTTAAGGTAAGATGTTAATTGAAATACCAGAGCAACCATGAAAAGAATGTTAGAAAATACAGTAAAAGAAACAAAAAGACGTAAGACACATGGAAAACAAATAGGAAAACAACAGACATCAGTCATACCTTATCAGTATGTTTAATTACATTAAACATAAAAAGACACCACCAAATCTGACTCAAGAAGAAAAATCTGAATAGACCTGTAAAAATAAATATGATAATCTATAAAAGTCCCCCCAAAAAGAGTCCTTGAACAGATGACTTTAATAGGTGAAACATTTAAAGAATTAATACCAGTCCCTTGCTTAATGTTCCAAAAAAAATATTAGAGAAGGAAACACTTTCCAACTCATTCTATGAGGTCCACATTAGCCTGATAACAAAGCCAGACAAAGATAAAATGAGGAAACTATAGAGCAAGCTACCTTTTGAATACAGATTTCCAAAAATGTCCAATGTAACACTAGCAAACCAAATCTAGAAATGAAAATGATTACCATGACCAAGTCAGATTTACCTCAGTACAGCCAAGTTGGCTTAATATCTGAAAATCAATGAATCTAATACACTGTATTTACAGAATAAAAAGGAAACCTCATGATCATATCAACAAATGTAGAAAAAGCATTTGACAAATTAGATGACAACCACTCATGATCTAAAAAAATGAAAACCTCAACAAACTAGGAACAGGAGGGAATTTTCTATATTTGACAAAGGGCATCTACAAAAACTGTACAGCTATCATTGTAATTAATGGAAAAAAGTAAGTGTATTTTCACTAAGACCAGGAAGCCTTCTCTTGCCAATACTGTACAGGAGTTTTTATCCAGAGTAATTAGGCAGAAAAAAGAAATAAAAATCAACAAGATTAGAAAGAAAGAAGTACAATGATCCGTATTTGTAGGGGATATAATCTTATACATAAAAATCCTAAGGAATCTACCAAAAAACCCATACCCCGCCTAATATTAAAACTATTAGAATAAAAAGAAGCAACTCTAATGATTTCAGAAAGCTTAGAACATACAATATCAGTTAAAAATAATTTTACTTCTATATACTAACAATGAACAATCAAAATAAAATAAGAGAACAATTCTATTTTCATTATCATGAGAAAAAGCAGAACATTTAGAGTAATTTTTCACATGGAAATACAAGACTTTTTATCCTGAAAATTACAATGTTGAAGGAGATTAAAGACTAAATGAATGGAAAGACATCCCATGTTAATGGACTAAGAGAACTAACAGTTAATATGGCAACACTCCACAAAGTGATCTACAGGTTAAATGTGATGTTCATCAAAATTCCAGATCTTATTTTATAGCAATTGACAAAATGATCCTAAAATTCATATGAAAACTCAGGGTCCAACAGTCGTGAACGAAGTTGGGAGGGTTCATACCTCCAGATTTCAAAATTTACTACAGAACTAAAAATAAAGACTCTGTGATCTGGATATAAGGATATACAGGTAAATGAAAAAGAACTTACAGGCCCAAAATAAACCCTTGAATTCAGAATCGATGGATTTTCAATACAGGGGTCAAGATAATTCAATAGGATAGTCTTTTCAATAAATGGTGGTAGGACAATTATATATCTACATGCGAAAGGATAAAGTTGAACTTACACCTCACATCATATATAAAAATAAATGCCAAATGGATCAGACCTCAATGTAAGATAATGGTTTCCTTGTTATGACACCAAAATCAAAAGTGACCAAAAAATAGATCAAATGGATTTCATCAATATTAAAAATTTACATACCGCAAACAGGAAAGTTAAAAGACAACACAGAGAATGGGAAAAAATATTTGCAAATCACATACCCAATAGGGGTCTATCATCCAGTTATAGAAAGAATTTTCACAACAAAACCACAAAAAGACATATAACCCAATTCTAATGAACAAAGGATTTGAACAAACAGTTCTGCAAAGAAATACAAATGGCCAATAAGCACAAAAAAAGTTGCTCAACACAGAAATACTAGTCAAAACCACAGTGAGACACTACACATCCACTAGGATGGCTATTATAAAAGACCAAAAGTAACAAGTGAGAATGGGGTAAGTTGAAATCCTCATACATTGCTGGTTGTACTGTAAAATGGTGCAGCCACTTTAATAAAGTTTGTCAAAATTATCTCACAACATTAAAATAGAGTTACACACTACAAAGCAATCCCATTGCTTTAAGTGTATGTATACCAAAGGAAATGAAAATATGTCCACATGAAAACTTGTACACAAATGTTTACAGCACCATTATTCCTAACAGACAAAAGCTGGAAACCCAAATGTCCTTCAACAGATGAATAGATAAAATGAAGTTAATCCATAAAGTGGAATGTTATTCAGACATAAAAACGGATGAAGCACTAATATATATTATAATGTGGGTAAATCACCAAAACATGCTACGTGATAGAAGCCGTCAACATAAAGGCCACATACTGTATGATTCCATTCATATGAATGTCTAGAACAGACCAACCCACAGGGACAAAAAGTTAGATTAGTGGTTGCAGGGATTGCGAAAGACGAAAATGAGGAATTACTGCTACTGGATGTGGGGCTTCTTTCTGGGGTGATAAAAATGTTTTACAGTAATACAGAAATAATGACTGCACAATTCTATGAATAAACTAAAAGCCACTGAAATGTAAAAGGGTAATTTCATAGTATATGAATTATATCACAGTAATTATTATTATTTTTTTTAAAGTTATTTGCCTTATTCAGAGTCACACTGATTAGCAGGGTTGCTAAGACAGGCATTTAATCTTTTAAAGCATTTAATCTTAAAGATTTTTATTTTTTTTTTATTTATTTGACAGAGAGAGAGAGAGCGAGAGCAGGAACACAAGCAGGGGAGTGGGAGAGGGAGAAGCAGGCTTCCCGCTGAGCAGGGAGCCCGATGTGGGACTCGATCCCAGGACCCTGGGATCATGACCTGAGCTGAAGGGAGACGCTTAACGACTGAGCCACCCAGGCGCCCTAAAGCATTTAATCTTATGACAAAATTGAGAGGACACTTGTTAGTTATAACCCCATTGACAGGTTGCCCCCAAATAGTGGTTACCAGTATCTTGGTCATGAGTGCAGGTAAAGTATTTGTGAAAGTATCAAACTGCCCAGTATGTGTAGGCATAACACATAAACATGTAAGTAAAGATTAGAGATGAAGGAATACCACATGGAGATTAGCCCTATCATTGAAATATTCTCATCCACTAGGAAATGTAAGTTTTCCAGTGACACCATGAAGTCACAAGATGATCCCTTTTTTTTTTTTTTTAAGATTTTATTTATTTGACAGAGAGCAAGAGAGCACAAGCTGGGGGAACAGCAGAGGGAGAGGGAGAAGCAGGCCCCCCGCCAAGCAGGGAGCCCGATGTTGGACTCGATCCCAGGACCCTGGGATCATGACCTGAACCGAAGGCAGACGCTTAACCATCTGAGCCACCCAAGTGCCCCTGATGATCCCATATTTTAACTGGGCTAAATAATGATCTAGTAGTGAAGTAACAGAGGCAAGATTTGACAAAGAACAGTCACTAAAGAACCTCAAAAACAGTAGGTACCCCTACATGTGACCACAGGTGGTAAAAAGAAAATCTTAGCAGGACCAGATCTACAATACAGAGGAACTGCTGAGTCAACAACTAGACAACATGTATTTCTGGCAACAGACAGGAAAAATATGACAACTTACAACCAAACAGGACAGTGGAATACCAAAATTTTCTTAATGTGGAAAA